TGTTATGATTCATTTATATCCATTGTGATGATATTCAATTTAAGTCATGCGAGCCCTCGGACGTTTCCGCCGTTTGGTTCGGGGGTGTGACACTTTTTTAATGCATACATGCATGCACTATTTATAGTATAACCCTACTAGATAATCACGGATGGACAGGCCCAATCCGGACATACAAAACAAGCCCATGACGCAACACAATAATACCCAACAGGCCTTACCCAAAAGCCCAACGATTCCTGGTCCAATAATAATAATTCTCTGATGACCCAAGGACCAAGCCCATTGGTCCCACTAAAGCCCAACTACCAACTAGGCCCTCTAAGGCCCAAATCCAAACTAGGCCCACAAAGGCCCAACCCCAACTCCTTAGGCCCAAACTGGGAAGTTCAATCAGATTAGTCCACTCATGGCCTCCGATCCCTAGTCTTGCATACAATTTGCCAGGAGCCACCTCCGGGTCTTTCATACAAATGCCAAAGGCCACCCCTGGTTTTCCTATATAACATAAGCCAATAGGCCGACATTACACAAAGTCGGCTTCAACTAACTGGTCTCCTGCGAAAAGACGGGTGCTCGACACCTCCTATCAATCCACACAAGGTAAACCGTAAGTCTACCTTCTAAAAATAGAATCTTGACCCACAAGTCAAACCAAGTCAAAAGTCAACGGTCAAAGTCACAGTCAACTTGCCCATTCTCACGTCGTGACCAATCCTTAGTCACATCGTGAGATCTCACTCAGTCTGATTCCAACTCATCACGACTCACCCTGGCCAACTCAGTCAAGAAAAGTCAACGGAACTGCCCTCACGTTGTGAGAACCCTTCACTCACGTCGTGAGATCCAATAAGATAACCAGAAACGGGGTCACTCATCCCTCATGTTGTGAGACCCCCATGTCTCACGTCGTGAGAACAGTCTGAAGCAAAACATCCATCTTTTAACTCCTTAATCCATTAAGCCTTGCACTCTAACTTTCCATAGGGTCTTATAACTTCTTAATACACAAGAAATTCGATGCTTTTAAGACATATATATCAAATACATGTCTAGATCTCATTTAGGTCCAAAGCTGAAGAAAAGACATCCAACTTTCATGCAATGCTCCAAAACTCAACCATTCCCTATATTGGAACTCCAAGACACTCTTAAGGCCCTTATAGCCCATAAAGTTGCCAACTTTATGGTTTCCATTCATTCAACATGCTCAATCAAGAAGAAAAGTGGGACAAAACTTAGATCTAGCCTTATATAACCATAAAGGTAGGAGCTTTATCACTTACAATGGTCCAGAACAATGTAAGGTGATGTTGATGACAATTCCTTGCAAGTCACAACAGAAGACCACCTTTTTCTTCTTCTTTCCTCCTTCCAATCTAAGAAAAGCTCTAAAACCACCAAAAATCAAGCAAGGATGGGCACTAGGGTTTTTCTAAGGTGAAAGAGGGTTTGGGGCTGATAAGAAACCCTCAAATGAGGTTAGAGATTCTTAAATACGAAGGAAACCCTAAAAGATCATGGGCTTGGGCTGCACTGCTCATCATGTCGTGAGCTCTTATTGCTCACATCGTGAGCTCGGTCCCAGACAAAATCTTCATGCAACCCATCTCACGCCGTGAGCCTTTACGTCTCACGTCGTGAGGATCCTTTTTCTCCAAAATCCAGCCTTTTGACTCATTGAAACCCTAATTCGATTCGTCCTAGAAAAATGAGTGTTACATGAACGGAATGGGGGCTCGCTACTGGGTTGCTACGCTCGCTAAGAGGAAGAGAACATCACCCCCTAGCGCTCGCTAGGGGATGCTCGTCAACTCCATGGCGAGAAGAAAAAGAAAGGATTGGAAGAATGTGATTGGTGCAAATGACTTTGACCGGATTGCAAATACTTTGACCGCCCAAATTTAATCCCCCATTTATTTTCCACTAACTTTTATTATCTCAGTTAATAAAAAAAGGTTTTTTTATAATAAAATTCAAAATTTTTAATTACAATTTCACTACTTTCACAAAAAAAAGTTTTTTAATAAAAATAAAATTATAAAAATTCAACTACTATAATTCAAACCACGCTCTCAACAATTTACTCACACAAAATATCATATATCTCTCTCACAAACTCTCTCAATTCACTAAGAAAAAATGTCTTCATCTCAAACAATGAAAACCCCAAGAACCAACAAAAAGAAAACTTCAAACCTTCTATGAGTAAACCTTCCACCTCCAAACACTCAATCACCAAACCTTCCATCACACCATGTTATCAACCATCATTTGATCAACCAATTTATTATTCCACTAGCTACTATTTTCTCACAATGGTTCTGCAAATGTTTCAATTTAATATGTTCTCTTCTAAATTAATGAGATTTTACCACAACCAATCTCAATCAATACATCATCATGTTTGTCGTGGTTTGAATTATTAAATCATGTTTTTAGGTATTTTAAGTTTTAATTTATTGTAACTTTTTTAATTTAATATGAAATGTTTGTGTTTTATAAAATATAATTGATATTATATTAATTTTTTGTGGTTTAAAAAAATAAAATTTGTTTAATATTTATGTATAAAAAGTATTTCTATATTAAATTAAAGTAATTTAATTAAATTATAAAAAGAAGAAAAATAACGTGCTAGGATAAGATGACTATTTGACATAGTGTTAAGAGTGTTTCTTATGTTAAGATTAGGTGATAAGGTTAACCGGTATGGGAGGAATTTCACGCGTCTTGGGCTGAGGTGGCACGCCTCCCCCATACGTGAACACCGCCCCAGGGGTGGGTGGTTTGCGTGTGACGTGAGGCGGAAGACAGATGAAGACGAAGACTTTGATTGGTCAATTCATTTTTGAAGTCGTTGGAGGCGATCCAAAAAAAAAAATTTACAAATTCTTATACTTTTTCGATGGGTTGAGCGTGACCGGCCTAAATAGTAAAAAAAAAAAAATAATAAATAAGATCGACTTGACAAGTGTTAAAGAGTGTTCCCTTTTGTTAGCGTGTTAGCATGCGAGGCTGCTAGCGAGCGCCTGCTTCTGCTGACCAAAAAAATAAAATATTCATTTTTTCAGTTTTTCTTGTGTTGGATTAATTTTGTAATAGGGCAGATTAGTACTCTTGACGGTCAAAGACTCGCAGTAGTCACCGAGAGAGAGAGATGGAGAGCGCCGCCTGCTTCTCAAACGCCACCACCGGTCGCCTTCCTCACAGAAACGCCGCCGATGGCACCCTTCTATCCCCATTTCGGAATCCTACTCATCTCTTTTCGTCACGTACTCTCAAAAAGGTAATTTTGTAATGTCTTGTCATGTTTGAGTTTTTGTTTGCAAACTTCTATAATGACAATCCTAGTAATCTATCAAATGCACAGCTGATGATGTTACTTACGACAATGTCATTCTTTTGGGTTTTACTATTATAGCTCCTAATGAACTTTAATTTTTCTTGACTATGACGGACGCAGCTTCCAGTTCAGGTGCGCTTTCCTTGTCTAAGAACTGCTTTCGGCAGTCTGAATGCATCTGCTTTTCGAATTGGCACGACAATCAGGTAGCTGCTCCCTGTTATTATTATTATTATTTTTTTTTATCAATTCAGGCCGTTTTATTTCTTATACGTAATTACGCCATGTTGATTGAACATATAAAGGACATTAGGTTATAAAAGGTTACACTCGCTAAGGACACAAAGCTATCAAAGCCCTCCCCAGCTGTCAACAGCAGATGATTTGATTCTGTACTTATTTGAAGTGAAACTGTTTAATAAAACTGTGAATTTTACCCTACTTTTCTTATATCTATGTACAAAGGTTTGTTGTCTGAAAAGTTGTTAGAACACACGGATCAGCTGCTATGTATGAGACCTACTAAATATTGTGAACCTATTGAAATTTAAAGTAGTAGCTACCTCATGAGACACATTATACCAAAATAAATAGTTACTACATTCATTAGTACCTTTCATAAGAAGTGCTGGGTGGTTATAACTTATTAGTTATTAACAATACTAGATTATAGTAGAGTCTCTTGTTCCTTCCATATCTATCTCTTAATTTAAATAAATATAATAGAGTCTCATGTCTTCATTTTTTTATTTTTATTTTTGTATCTCTTTAATTTAAGCATACTAAGAGTAGGAGTAGTTGTTTAAATGTTATTAAGTGGTGTTGTTTAATTCAGCACTGAAAATGAATCGGTTGAGGTTGATTGGGATTCACTTGGATTTGGACTGGTGCATACTGATTATATGTACACCATGAAATGCTCGCGAAGTGAGAGTTTCTGTGAAGGGGAATTAGTGCCCTTTGGGAACATTGAGATCAGCCCATCAGCTGGAGTTCTTAACTATGGACAGGTGTCATTTCTTGGTTATGAATCTGATGTGCTTTATTTATTGGAAACAATTATAATTTGTATTAAAACACCCAAGTTTCCCTCAGGGGTTATTTGAAGGTCTGAAAGCATATCGGAAGGCAGATGGTAATATTTTACTGTTTCGCCCTCAAGAAAATGGGACAAGGATGATGATGGGGGCGGAGCGAATGTGCATGCCTTCTCCTTCTGTTGCTCAGTTTGTTGAAGCCGTTAAGGCCACAGTATTGGCAAATGAAAGATGGGTTTGTAACTAACTAAATATATCTNTTTATTTTTTACTTTTTTTTTATTTATGACTTTGAATGACAACGGTGGTTTTTTTTTTTTTTTTTTTTTGTTAGATACCACCTCCTGGTAAAGGTTCACTATACATAAGGCCATTGCTTATGGGAAGTGGAAGTGTACTTGGTCTTGCACCAGCTCCTGAGTATACTTTTCTGATTTATGTTTCTCCTGTTGGTAACTATTTCAAGGTTTACACTTTACCCTTATTCCTCCTATCTCTTGAATACACACATCACATTCAGATTTGAGATTTATCAATGATGAGTAAGTTTGTGCTGTAAATGTAATCTCTAACCAACTATGGCACCAGTCATTTGATTTTTTTTTTTTTTTTTTTTTTTGCTTACATTAGTGATTAGAGTTTATCAGTTCCAGGTCATGGCCTATATATATATATA